CGGCGCTGCATACCGGGTCTCAAGCAGAGGGAAATCTTCCGGATGGTCGGCTACCTCCAGCGCGTAGTCGATAGGCTCCGGCTCCGGCAACGGTTCCTGCTCTGACTTGAGCGGAGGCTCCTGCGGCGGCTCGGCCTCCGGCTCGGCCTCGGCCAGGTCGCCGTCGCCTGCTATGCGCACGCGGGACCGGCGCGCCACTGAGCTGGCCGAGCGCATGGCTGAGCGAGCCGAGGTGACCGAGGCGGCCGGGTGCGGCGGCTCCGGCGGATCCGTCGCCGGCTCCGGTGGCTCCGGCACCGGTCCCGGCTCCGGCACCGGCTCACCGGCGTCCACCGACGGCGCCGAGCCGCGACTCTGCGAGCCCATCACCGAGGAGCTCGTGTCGACAGGCTGGGAACTGACCTCGCTGCAGAGGACGGGGTAGAGAAAGGATTACAGGAAGGTGAGGACGACCGAGGAGGGGCTGGTTGGTGACCAATCTCTTCGCGAAGGACAGGACGGACAGGTTTACGTGACATGTACAGACAGAGGATCACAGGGGGAGGGGGGGGGGGGGGGGCTAACTGGGAGCAGACATTGTGAACCAAACAGGATAGTTTACCTGTACGCAAAAGGCACAGCAACGATATTGATAATATATAAAGTATTGCATAAGGCTTCATAGCAGCTTTTGAGAGGCATGGATGTCGCCGAAATCAGCTCTACACATACAGCTGAGCTACTGCTGTTTGGTCACACCTCCGCCTTTAGCAGATATAGTTTTAAGGCACACACACCTTGATTACATTTGTTGTTTCCACTGGCCGGCCAGCAACGAGAGCTTATACTTTTATCAGACTTGAGTTTGATTCAGTTCCATAAAAATCGAATTATTCTGGCTTAACATCATTTGGAACCGAATGATGACTTAAATGAAACTCTGCTTTCAAATATGAATTGAGACTGGCAGGTGATTCAAGTAAACTGGCATGGCAGGTTATGACTATGCTTCTGAATCAAGGCCCATTAGGAGTGAAGTCTTCATTTCAATAAGCGTGATTTGAATTAAATGTCATGCTCCCAGTACTATCCGTTACAATGTCGCAACATGATCAGACCCAATGGTTATGCAATTAGGTTGACATATGCCATCCACTTTCCTCGAAATACCAGGCTTGTCCATGACCTGGGACTATCTCTGAAATCTCATTTTGCTCGCATTAAACGCCTTACCCTGCGCACCTATATCAGCTGATAAGCATTTGTTGTCTTGCTTTACATGGTAGGTTTCCATTAAAACCAACCATTTTCTAAAATCAATTTCAGTAAATGTTCTCATTCGTTATCGTTATTTGTCATCAGACACCAAAACCACCGTTCTCCGCATCTTTAGCAGAACTTATGACCTGATGCTGATACCGAGTTGATTCAATAATATCAATGAAACAATTCAAGCTAAAAGATGCGAACCACATCCGGTTCACCGTGACGCCAAAAGCCAATAATTTGCGTCATCTTTGAATCTTTCAAAAAAACTTGGTTGCATTCCTTGGGAAAACTTGGATCAAACCAAGTACAAGTCTGAATCTCACCGGGAAATTTTCCCCAAGACCATACAACCTGCTATGCCGCGTTGGGATGCCAACGGAGCAGTGCAGTTTGATGAATGCCTAATTTCAGCGTATTTTCTGACTTGAACCCAACTTGGGCACGACAAACACAATTTAATGGTCAACAAAATGGCCACCATCATACAACGTACGCCCCAGGCAGCAATACCTCCATTGCATTATCCAGGAATGTTGCCAGCCCGTTTGCCGCGTTTGAATTCTTTCGTCAAGAATCTCCATAACACGGTGCCCAATAAGGAATGCAACCACAACGCGCGATGTTGGGCTGGAGCGACGCGCCATTAAAGCTACAACAATGAGCGCTTACGATGGGAGCATATCACTGAAGAAAAAAATCTGATCAGCGGATGCTCATTCCATAGTTCGTGCTCAGTCGATAAACTGTTCCGCTTTAAAGTCAAACCAACGCTCTCTCTCCTTCACTCTAGACTTCTTCTATCCACGGGGCTTTCAAGTGCGCCTCCTGGCTGTAGTTAGTTGTCTCTGAGCCACACACAGCCACAGAAGTGCTCCTGCGGCTGACAAGCAATAGCCAGTCTGCACAGCCAAGCGTCTGAAATTCCGACACCCACGCAGAGGCAAACATCCGGATGCGTCCTCGCTTGGAAATGGTGAAAAAACCTTGACTTGGCCTAATCGCACAGCAGTTCCTGCGGTGGTTTTTTATGGCTGCCTGTGACTCAACACGGGCCGGCGCTCAGCAGCAAGCACCCTGCTGTGCCCCGTACCCACCGATGCTTCGCGGCGTGCCGTCTGGCGGTCAACTACTCATTTGGACGTGTACCCGGGCGCGACAACAAACACGCTCACTCTACGCAGCTCGGTAAAAACCGGGGTTCTCACCTTGCAGGAGGGTACCCAACTCTACGCTACTTAATAGACGCACATAGCACAAGCCTCAACGGGTCCCAGGCATGTGTCAGCGGCGGGCCGTTTGCCGCCGCTGGAGGTTATGTGCAGCTACTACTACTCGGTCGTTCAGTGTGGCACTTCGGGCGGGCAAACAACGACGGGCCCGCCCGCCTACTTTCTTTCACTGCGGCACACACACAACACCTTCACTGCAGCAAGAACCGAGCTGGTTAAGCTATCACCAAACCACACACCAATTGACTGCGGAAAATTGACTGCGTATGATGGGGGCTTGGAAGTCTGTCATGACAAGAAAAGTTTAAGAACATTCCTGTCAAAAAGTCCCAACAAAATTCCGGTTGCTCCCGCTGCATATATCATTCTAAAACTGTTATTTGAATAGAGATGAGCAGGGCACGCTCGGGACCTCACACCATACGTTTCATGACATTTTGCTAGGATGTAGCGGCCGGCGCGTGACCTACGCGCAGTCGATTCGCTCTAAACATACACAGCAATCAACTAATCTTTCCACACGCGTCGCTGAAAGAAATTGTGAGCTGTAAACTAGCATGCATCTGTTTTTGACGGAAGGCAGGCGACACTCATTTTGTGCATCCGTCCTGTTATATCATTATCATACAAGTGCACTGCAGCTGGAACAAAAATGTGCCAAATCACTGAATCGTTCAGTGTGCCTGAGAAAATACAGAATCAACAAACACCACGGCGCATAATCAATAAGACATCGGCACTTAGGAAACGGTCTTCAACGGTGACAACAACATAACATGGAATTAGACCCCAAAAAGGTCTGTCATGTTATTAAATGCCCGCAGGCGTTTGAGACCACCTCGGACGATCCGAATGACCGAATTATACTGCACGCCTTTGTTCATTGCATAGTGAATGAGCGAGCAGTTCACGAACCACGTCACACAGATAAGATCACGTCCCATAATACCTGACTTGCTAGTTTGCTCGAAAGTCGATTTTCACGATCGCAAAAACATACTGCACCGAACAATGGTTCGACAGATTCGTCGGGAGGTTACATCGTCGGGTGATTGTGAAGTCCTTAAGCTATGTCGAGCCTCACAAAATTCAGTTAGTTACGTCTGCTACTTAAAATGGATATACAAAATTACATTCGACGTCGAGGATGTTAATTTATGTTGCAAACGCACAGGCCATTTTGTTCCATCTGACGCGGAAAACCGCCGGATGTTTAAGGCAAGCTGCTCGTGCACGCCCCAATGCGGAATGGACTACCTTACTTGTATTCTTAGGTGATATACATAAGACGATATATCTTAGGTACACTACTTAGGCGATAAACATAAGTCACGGTGCAATGCAACGATTATATTAAGCTTTTGCTCAATATGTAACGGATCCATCTGAGAGAAATACGGAGAAGCACTGCACCTGAGATAAATAAATGGAAAAATGAAATAACCAACTACGTTTGATCTGTGAGGTGCACAGATCCGTACGCCAATCAGAAACATTACATATATAAACCACGGCAAAAGCGTCCCTCACCGGACTTGGCCGTTCAAGGCCAAATCGCTGAGACTTCAAGCTCACCGGCTGGTTTATGTAAATCGCACGGCTGTAGTGACATTATTAGCGTTCAGGACCTCTCGCCCGGCTAGAGGAACAGAGGCGCTAACCCCTCGAGCAAAACGCCTCATAAAGACGCTTACGACCGGGTTCAAAACGGATACTTTCCGCATGTGAAGAGATGCAATAATTGCTGCACTTTGGAAACTAGGTGAGTACGATTTTGGGTAAGACACATGAGTGTACACTGCAAAAATGCTGTCTAACCGGATTTATAAAAGCACTACGAAAATAAACCCACAGACTGATGAAGTTAATGGACTCGGAATGAGGACTTTATGGGTCAGACACGAATTGGGTGTCGGACCCGAACTTGGAATTTGTCCCCAATGATTCGGACTCGGTACCCAAAGACACGAACTACAACATGAGCTTTGTGACGGCCGGACTCGAGTCATGTGATGTGCCCTTGGAGGACTCTGTGCTTGGACTAAGGCTCAAGGCTGTACAACCTGCATTCTGGCTCCAATTTGGAACAGGTATCCATATGCCTGGTTGACCACTAACACTACCGAAGGCGTTTTTTCTCTCCTTTCCGTAGATAAAGTGAGAATCAGAGGTTTCATTCCCAGCTCCACGTCCCCTCGAAGCACATTGCTAGTGTTTTAAAAAAGTCTCCGAACCACATTAGTCCATGCAAGGACAGTGCCTACATCTTGCCTACCGTTTTGGAAATGCTTTTCAGTTGGTGAGAATCATAACGCTCAGCAGAAAATCTCTTTCAGCGTATTCAACCGGAAATACGTCTGTCGGCTTTCTTCCATAATCGACTGAACTCTTTCCCATGCTCCCCGTTCGAAGCTCTGTCAAAACACCGCCGCCATTGTAGGTATGCCACGCGCGCTTTGCGGCATTCCAACGCGCCCAGCGCGTTAGTGGGTAGCGTACGTGGATCCCGCGCGCCTTGCTTACTCGACACTGACGGCTATCAACTTTTGCAGCTCGGCCTCCTGCTGCCGGATCTCGCGCTCGATCTGCTCCGGCTCCCGGCGCCGGTTGGCCTGACTCTCCGGCGGCGGCGGCGGCTGGTAGTCGGCCCGGAACGCGTACCGTCGCACCGTCTGAGGCTCGTCAACTGTGGCACGCACACGCACACCGGTGGAGGTAGGCACAGACACACGCACACCGGCGGCGGTAGGCACATGCACAACGGCGGCGGCGGGCACGTACACAACGGCGGCGGTGGGCACACACACGCACGCACGCACACACACACACACACACACACACACACACACACACACACACACACACACACACACACACACACACACACACACACACACACGCACGCAGGCACGCACGCACGCACGCACGCACGCACGCACGCACGCACGCACACACACACACACACAACGGCGGCGGTGGGCCTACACGCACACAGTGGCGGTGGTCACACACACCGACGGCGGGCACACAGAACAGCGGTGGGTACACGTGGCGGCGGTGGGTACACACAACGGCGGCGGCGTGCGCACAGTCGGCTGCGAGGCGCCCGACCGCAAATCAGGCCATTCACCGTCCAACGCGGCATACGACACACACTTTTCTGCGCCATACCACGGCCCAGGGGTGCAACGCGCAGCGCATCTTAAAAGAGCCAGTCTGCCACATCAGACGCGTGACACTGGTAACTACACCGCAAATGGGCGGTGCGACGGACGCTTCGGGGAAGTCTCACCGATGGGCTCTAGTTAAAGGTAGCATGCCACCTTTTGTGACTTTTCACTTATTGCTAGGCCAAATATGTCTGATCTTATCGGCAATACCCGTTTTCTCGAAGTCCATCTAAATAGCTCATGATTTGTATTCGGAGTAGCCGCTGCTGCGGGAGAAATCCCATTCGTCTTCCTGCTCAACACTATGAGGGTAGTACATTTTATTGTAATGGTTTTTCCAACGAATATCTTCAGTAATATTAGAGTAATATTTGTAAAAATGATTGTGTAATACATCCTACGAAAGCTTCAAACAGCCTGTTAAGATATAGATGTACGCAAGCATCACGTCATACATAACGTATGCCTTCAATTCAACAAAGTGTTATACTATGGCTTTGATTTATCCCCTGTGGCGTTTACCACAATGACTGTTTTCGGAGCGCCCTTGGTTCAAACTTCAACCAATGCGATGCTCGGTAACTGGCCCTTGCCGCCTGCTGTGCCAATCACAAACGTTCACTTGTGCTGACGTCACACCAGTAGAGGCGTCACTTCGAAGCCCGCAGGTCCGCAATGTGCGGATATAACAACTGAAAAGTGATACCCCTAACCCGTAACAGCTGACAAACGAACTCAGCAGATTCTGCCGTCTTCATGACGACGGCGGTCGCGACACCTGCAGTTGTCGCGGACTCGAAATGCACTCTGGGGCTGCCAAGAAACGAATAAGTATAGCGTTGTTACAAAGCGTTGGCAGCGTAATTTGGACTTTGAAATGATCAAACTCATATCCTCATTACAGCTTGATAGTGCTGCAGTCATTACCCAGTGATATTATGCGACGTAACTGGTCTTCAGGCCCCACCAGAGTATGCTTTTGAAATGTGTCCCAAAGGTGAGAAACTCCCTTCAACACCTTCAGAGACAGGCACCGCACGAGTAGAACGAACTGACGCTGACAGCTGGGCCGTACGAGACCGGCGACATCCTTGTGGAACAAACTCCCTGTACAGACCAATCTCAGGCTCAGGGAAAGTACCTAACGTACGCTGGCCACGCGCTCCTACTGTGTGCTCCCACGCATGCGAACTCCTCTCGCTGCGACAGCATCGACTTCAAGTTCCCTGCTCGTCATGGTTCCAATTCCTCCTAGTCGTGGAAAGGCGAACGGCAACACTCGACCGGAGAACGATGATCGGCGGCGGGTAGTCTCCAAAACTGCACAGCGCCATTCATTCGTCCATGCCATTGTCATATTCGTTAGTCGTGATTGGACACTCCGCAGTTTTTGTTATTCGTCATATCACCGCCATACCAAGGAACATTTAGCTGATTTGTTGACACGCATGGCCACCCGACCTGGCCTGCGGTGCGGAGTTTGAAGCCTGAGCGCCGCAGGCGCCAAAGCTGGCCAAACACCACCCACCCACCCCCGAATTAGATGAGCTTTGATTTTGTGATGAAAGCTGGATGTGTCCGTGGACTTTGTTCGCCCACGTTCTCAACGGCAGGGATTACCGGTGTAAAACTCTCCGGTGGGCCCCGCATCAGGCCGACGCGCACCGTTTTAGCCGGCGTGCGGAGCGCTGGCCGCCAGACGGATGCGGACACGGCGGCTGCACCGCTGCCGGCGCTGACGCCAGCCTCGCAACCGGCCAACGCCACCCGCCGCCGCCGGCAGGCCGGCAAAACGGCGTGCGCCGCAGCGCGTGGCCCCGCCATTCCAACTGCGCCAGTTGCCCAGTTGCCCGGGCATGAAACACAGATCGCCAGTCGGGGCTCACCCAATGCCGCCGAAGCTCGCCCAAAAATGCACTGCGAATCGCTCTGTCCACACAGCTTGATCCACTTTTCCGAAACCTATCGTAAGCGCATGGTGGCATCTATTCTATTTCTCTCAGGCATACCAGAATGGGGAGCTCCAGTTGGTTGCAGCGCAGAATAGTTTGTAAATCATAGTGATATTGTGGCTTAGCATGCCGCACGCAAGTGACCATGTTGCAAGTATCGGGATGTACAGCAAACATCCTTGTGCGGTAGCTTTGTGCGTTTACAGTTGCCGTTCATCTGCCGTCACACGACGCCGCCGCACAGCAGCATTATCCTCGCCATAGGCGATCCACCTGCTGATGATCAGTTATTGTGCCTGCTATTGCATGGATCCAGGACGACCCGATTCTTAGATGTGCGGGTATTTTGCCCGCAGAGCCGAAAAGTAAGAGGCACAAAAAGTACGGCGCATGTTTTGCGGTGTGCTCCGAACGGACAGGAGCAAAACACGATAACTAGCTTTCCATATTAATGGGCGCCGTTTATGCCTCAGCGAAATGCGGCCACCTTTGTTCAGGAAAATTACAGCTGGCACCATTTCAAATTTTCACGGTATGCACAAGCGTACCATAAACCACAGCTCCACTGACACCTGATCACCGATGCGAAAACATAGTTTGAAAACTTAATGCGGACAAAGTTTTATCACCACCTCCGGACACAATCTTCATCTATTGCCAGGGGCTACTATTTATTCTACGGTAATTCTGCATGGTTTAGTCCTTACTGCACAAATAGGCTGAACATAGCAGGAAAACACCACAAAATGATACTTGGAATTATGATGGTTCAAAGGGCTCCGGCCGATGACAAAGCGCGACGGCTGTAGCCTTTCGATTCAAGGGTACTTAAAGGGTAAGGGCACTTGTGGTTTAAAAGCTTCCACCCGGTATCGTGTTCTCCTCGCTCCCTGCAGCGCATGTAGGTGAAAAGCAGGTGGCCAGCCCAACCATCTCCTCCCCGGTGGCCGGGCTCGTTCCCACGTGGCGTCAATGTCCGCTCCGCTGGCTTACTCGCACGCAGGGTCCAGTCGCCGACCACCTTGGGCTGCGGCGGAATGTCTAGCAGATCGAAGTGGATCAGTCCGCCGATGACACGGTATCGCCGCAGGTTCACCTCCTCCTTATCGGTCACCATCAGCAGAGAGGCCACCTTTACAACTGAAATGAGCCACGGCGATGTAGAACGAGCCGACTGAGCCACCCGCGATCTTGGCTTCCGGTGGTAGTGACGTCACCGACAATACACATGCCAAGAGTGGAATATCATCAGTCTCGGGCAATTGGTACGTGGGAGAACCATCGGCCCCGCCGCTGACCAGCACAGCTCGAGTAGCGCGAGAATTCTGCACCGAACGGTCAAAAATAATCGACGGGCACTGACGATGATATCCTGTCTTTTTAGGCATATGAGTGCCGAGCTGATACGGATTGAACCGACTGTCGTTGGCCGGGACCCAGCGCGGCGCCGTCCTCACAGCGCAACAGAGCGGCGGCGCCTGCTGCCATCGGCCATGCCGGCCAAGGTCAGACCGTATCGGTCGGGTCAGGGGTCACGAGTGGTGGCCGGTAACAATGCCGAAGTCCGAGACAACACTGAACTGGAAGGCGTGGCGCGCTATCGCGGCCAGTCAGGTGACCACAAACGCTGCAGACACAACACGCGAGGCCCACTCCGACACCGTGGGACGCTCCAGCGGCCCCGCAGGTCGGCAGTAGCCGAGTTCGAGGGCAGAGCGACACTCCCCGCACCGCGTGATCTCGGAATTTATCGCTCCGCGGCAGGCGCGGTTTGTCAAAACCTGACAGTCACTGGAGGTGACTTAACTGAAGGGCTAATATATTTGCGGTGCACTACCCAATGGAGCTTCCAACGCCGTAAGATCGCGCAACTGAAGAGCTAAACCACCTCAAAAGAACAGTTCCGAAATGTTAACCAACAAATGTTGCGTTAAGAAGCTAACTTGACGACAAAATGGGTGCTCACAAATGCACAATGCAGCATGAGTTAATTGCATAACT